TAGCGGAGTGCTGCTATGGACCGAATGACTGTACGATAGCCCGAGCCGCCTTTCATCCCAGCATGCTGGCGAGCGTAGATCGGACCTAGGATCCTCCTGCGTATCTGTACCACATAGGATTCCTGGCACTCGAAGAAGTGCGCCATAGTCTCCCGCTAAGGAAAACAGTATCTGCAGTGTGTCACACACTGTGTGTGAGGTTAGAACCGCTAATTCTACTAATGTAGACTCTTGTAGGCTGATGGCCAGTTAATGAGTATGTTATTATCCTCCTATCCTTCACACTCCACCTCAATACCGTCTTCGCAATCTTCTAAAACTGTTCCGGCCCTGATGTTAGTCCATAGCAGACCACCGATAGGGAGCCGATTCTTCCATCTCACCTGCTGCTTGGAATATGCTGCAGCAACATTTTTTATATAGGTTACAGGGAGTTCCAAGTCCTCTCCTGGAAGTAGCAGTCCCTGAAGTCCTGTTGGAAGTGCGGCTGCTATCTTCGCATAGCAATCCGCACTTTTTTCATTGCCGAATATTCCATCGTGATCTTTCACCCATCTGAAGCATATTGTGATGGTCCGCCCGGCGGTAGCCATATATGCATTGCTCTACTGTATATAACCCCGTATGCCTCGGAGAAGATGGATTCTCCTGGATCCACTGCTGATGGTCTTCAGGACAGATTGTGAGTCCACGTATAGCTTGGCTACGAACCATCTTTTCGAGTGGCTTCTCCTATCCCTGCATGGCGACTTAACGTCGCACTTCGGAGTTGACATTCTGACTGCAATTTTTAGATCAGCCTCCAATTGTTTCGCCTGTTGGTCAATCGTTTCCGTAGTAGAGGATTTTGGCGCGGAGGACGCTTACCAGGTGAGTGTCATACAGCTGATTTAGTGACATTATTCAGAGGTAAAGGAAGCAAAAAATCACCGGAAGGATATAGGGGAATATCGCTTCTCTCGGTCGTTGTAGAACCTTCTGATAGGACCTGTGCTGAGACAGCCTGAGGACTCGTCTCATGAAGAAGCTGACATGTCTATGACATGTGATGATGTCTGTGACAGAAGATTATGTCTCATGAAGTGTCACGAAATTGTCACCATCATTGACTTACACAAATGGGATTTTCAGACTTCATCGATCCTACTGTAGAATTACGAATAGTGCGGTCCCACTCAGACTATCAGAAAGCTCTTCTTGCAGAGAGCTTGCCACTCCTACCGAAGGTGCAACAGAGGTATTCGGAGGCTCAACTAGCACCGACCACTTTAGGTGGTCGGTTAGGAGCGCCAAGTTGGTCAAGTTGGTATTAACCATATGACCTCATCAAAGGTGCTCTTGAACTCCTCAATGCTCAGAATCACCCTGAAGTCTTCCTATCATTCGAAGACCGCATGAATGTGGTCAACATAGCAACTTGTCACGGTTGGCTATTCTTTGTTAACCTATGCGTGGTTGCATATACATCTGGGCCCCAGACAGGGTGTGATGTGAGTGGAAATTCAGTACGATATTCTGTGTTTGGAAATTTCAAGGTGGAAATTTCCGGAATTTCCAGGAAATTTCCGCCAAGATGCTTCCGGGCTTCTGCGCTAGCGCGCAGTCGGGATCGAGGAAGTACAGAAGAGCAAGATCACGAGTTGGAGAGTCGTTTCGTGGGTCCATGCGTTACATTGTCAATTGCGTGTCGCGTTCAGTTCGAGAGCCAACGATGACTCGAAAGGGATGTAGTTGCGTCAATCACGGTCACGACTGACGATCCGTCAAAGCAGCTTTGCGAGAGACAGGTTTTCGCTCCCGAAAGACCTCGTTTTTGGGTGGTCGAATTCTGTTCAGTATCTCGAAGAAGTCTGGTTTATCCATGTCTTTGAAGGCTTTCCTGTTATATTGCCTATCTCTTAATGGCTCCCTCGTCGCGTAGGAGAAGCTCTATCTTCGACCCCCGACCACATTACCTGGTGAAAACTCGGGCTGAGCTTGGCCTCCCACCGCTGTAGTACAGGTGCTGTAGTACAGAAGCAAGTATTACTTGCCAAGTAACTAGGTTACTGCAACCCCAAGTTGAACTTCAAGACTTGAACTTAGTTCAAGTTCAAGTTCACCTTGGTTCAAGTTGTTTCAAGTGGCACCTCATGACGCCGGTGGCGGTCCAGTGGATGATGAACTCGACATGGAAATACTTGGGATCAAAAGTATATCTCCTTATTACTTATCATGGTATGAATTACTTTGCAGTTGCATTTTCGAGCGTTACAGGCGAGCGAGAAAATAGATGCGCTCGACGGAGCGAGGTGAATTGCCATGAATCGCCATGCGAAGACTTGTAAGCGCTCGCCTTGATGATCGATTCCAGCCGTTGGGGCTTTTACGCACAACAACCGAGTCTGAGCATCACTACGATACTCTATCTATGCGGAGAGCTATTCTTAATGCAGATTGAGCTTTTTTATAAACGAAACGTGCGTAGAGATCAGTAAATAGCCATTTTTGTTAGATTTCCTGGAAATTCAAGGGTCGTGGAAATTTTTCCGAAATTTCCTTCGGAAATTTCAGGCGGTTGTGCGCGCGCGCCACAAAATTCCGTAGTTCAGCCACAAATTTATGATACTGGCCACAAAATTATTGCATCGGCCACTAATCATCGATGGTCGAAATCACTCCGGTTCAGTGCTTGGAATGTCTAATTCAGAAATGCTCTTATCGCGAACTCACAACCGAGTCTCTTCTTGTAGCGTGACTATGGTCAGAAACTGCAGATGTAATGAAATAGAACCTCCCAACACTTGTCAACTATAATAGGCGGGTCCTGCCAGCGAATTTTTATCTTGTTCGATCTGTATGGATCCTTCGAGCTCGAGTATGGCCCAAGCTAGCCGAACCTCTAGCCGAACTGGCAACACAGTGGTTTCTGATGATAGAGGGGTGTGCGATACCGCAGTGGCATTCTTCCAACGTTGAGGATTCTTAAGTCTGTAAGTGCGCGAGACATTGTGTCTGCGTGCAGTGACTGTTTTGCGCGTTGCGTGAAGCAGAAGCTAAGCAGTTGTTGTTGGTAAGCTCGGTAGTTGAGTGTACTAAACTCTGGACCGCTACAGAGTTCCTGGTTCACTTACTGCACTGTTGAGGTACGCAACTGACGTCTAGTTACGGTGCAAGCACGTTACGTTGGTCAGAAGGTAGCTTGTATATCCAGTAGTTCAGACCTTGAGTTGACAGTAGTCATGGT